TGTACGTGATAATCTAAATATCAGCCATGGAGATAAGATCATGCTTCTGAAAAGGGAATTAAAATATTGTGAATGATGTATTAATTTTTATTTATTAACATATTTATATTCCACCAATGTATTATTAATATTCTTCAATAATATGAAATAAAAGTTTAAATTCTGAAATTGTTGGTGTAGCAAATGGCTATTATCTATCTCAGTAAGAATTTAGCGTTTCACAAAGTTAGGGCTCAAGATAGGCAGGGAAAAATATCTTAATAAAATTAAGGCGCTTTTGTCATTAGTTCAAATAAATTTACAGGAATTTAAGTGTTAAAATTATTCTTTCCCCAGAGAAAATATCTATTAGGCATCTGAATGCAAGTAAGGAGTTTCGCAATAATATAAATTTTTTAGTAAGAAACAAGATTGGAGCAAGTTATCCAATATAGGATATCTTTTTTCTTGTAACCTTTCTAAAAATCGAATATATTAAATTATAAAATCTTCTAAAATGTAAAACTATTTGAGAATTCTTAAAATGTTTAATAAAATTTTCAAGATTAATTTTTGATAGAACTTTGTGTTTGCACTCAGATTTAAAACGCCGGATCCCGAATAAAATATTAATGTTAAATATCAACAAGGAGTATATTTTTTTCTAAAGCCTGCCTAGTGGTTCAGTTTAGGGTTAGGGGAGATGATATATAGTAGATTGAGGGCAACCGCGTGATTCCGTCATTTAATATTTAAAAAACTAAATATTATTGCATTTTAGAAAAAACTTGGCCATTGCTTAATAAATTGGGATTTTGTTAAACAATTTCTAAATGTTGACTTGGCATTTTTAAAATATTTTATGAGCCCTCTCCCCTCTCCAAAGACAGGGTCACTCAAATAAAATAACTTTAAAAACCTGTCATATATTTTATTTGATAGCTAAATATAAAATGAAAACAAAAATATGGAATTATAAATATTAAACAAAAAAACATTTTCTTTCTCTATTTCTATAGTATAAAGGCGCCATATGGGGAAAGATTTAAATAGAAAAAACACCCGGTTGCTATCCCGTCCTATATTTCTCCTAAATATTTTGAGTTAATTCCCAATCCTACACATCTCTCATCCAACTTTTCTCTAAAATATTTACAATATCATTCAGGCGATAAAAATATTTAAGCAAAAGTTTATAATTTTTTCTAACAATGTATTTTTTGAAAAAGTAAAATCAAAACTATTATACAAAAAATATACCATTTCCAATAAAGTATGTGTAATAAATTAATAAATGATTATTTATGTATATTGTATATTAAAAACAGAATCGAACATTCGAAAAATAATAAATAAAAATTTGATATCAAAAATAAATTGAAATATAAATCAGTGGTCGTATTGTTTATAATTAGTAGTTGGTATTACTACAAATATAATAATGATAAAGATTATAATAAACTTAAATGTTATAAATGTGGTTTTATTCATAACCGAGAAGTGAGATATCCAGCTACAAATGCGGCATGTAATAAATGTAAAAAAATTGGTCATTTTGCAGTTTGCTGTAAATGAAAGAATTTAAATTATATAAGAGTGTCATCAAGTGATTCTATTCATAATATTTGGAAGATTCAACAAAATCGAGAGAATCGAGCAAAACTAACTGCAGAGATAAATGGGTTAGATGTTGAATTTGATTTTGACACTGGTGCACAAGCGTCATTGATAGGAATTGATATATGGACAAGTATTGGGCGACCAAAAATTAGGCCAACCAGTCCATTGACTGCATATGGTGATCATCCGTTAGACGTCAAGGGCGAGACCCAAGTCAATGTTAGGATTGGATCACAGACAAGGACTCTACCAGTGGTAATAATGAATACAACTGGGGTGCCTCTTTTCGGATTACCATGGATTATAGCATTCAATTTAGAAATGCCTCGTCAGGTTATGATTAAACAAGTACGCAATTTGGTCAACAATATTGAAAAAGAAAAATGTTGCATAACACTAGATTCTAGAATTCGAGATTTGATTAATAAACATCAAGAAATTTTTGATGATAAGATGGGACATATACGTGATTTTGCAGTGCGAATACATTTAAAGGATACCGCTGTACCAAGATCGTTTCCAGCCCGTAGGGTACCATTTCCACTTCGCAAAGCAATTGAAATGGAATTAGACCGATTAGTAGCTGCAGGAATTATTGAAAAGATTGATTCGACTATAACCAGGGTACAGTGGTCAACGCCAACCATAAATGTACGCAAGAGTAATGGCGATATTCGAATTTGTGCTGATTTCAAAGTTACACTCAATCCGTGTTTATTATATGACCATCATGTTATTCCTACCTTAGACGATTTATTAGAGAAAATCCAAGGTGGTGATAAATTTACCGTGATAGATCTGAAAGATGCGTATTTACAGATGGAAGTAGAATTGGAATCCCAGGAACTACTAACGATAGTGACTCATAAGGGCTATTTCCGTTACCGACGATTGCCATTTGGATTGGCAAGTGCACCAACTATATTTCAAAGATATATGGATGAGTTACTAAAAGATTGCCAAATGACTGGTGTCTATTTAGATGACGTAATTATTTCTGGTCGAAATGATGAGGAGCACTTAAATAATTTGCGATAGACAGATTACATGCAGCAGGTCTTAAGGCGAAATTAACAAAAGTGAGATTTTTACAAAAATCGGTTTCATTTTTAGGGGTGATAATTGATAAATTCGGTATACATCCTAACCCGGAAAAGGTGAAGGCTATCCGAAATGCACCAAAACCTAAAAATATACAACAACTTAGATCTTTTCTAGGACTAGTTAATTATCATGAACGTTTTATTCGCAATCTACATTCTAAAGCGGCGCTACTACATAGATCAACGAGCGTGAAAGTACCTTGGCAGTGGTCGAAAGATGAACAAAATTCCTTCGATGAGGTTAAGAAATTATTGTCATCCGAGGAAACGTTAATTCCTTATAACGCGCAGTTGCCTATAATTTTGGAATGCGACGCATCTGATTCAGGATTAGGGGCTGTGTTGTTACATCAATTAGTAGACGGAAGGACAAAACCTATTTCGTTCGCGTCACGTACTTTATTAGAATCAGAGAAACACTACGCTCCGATTGATAAAGAAGCTCGAGCACTTTTATTTGGTATTGAAAAATTTCATTCATTTATTTATGGTAGAAAATTTTTACTTCGAACTGATCATAAACCATTAGAGCGATTATTTGGGGAGAAACGCGATTTACCTAAAATTTCTAATAATCGTTTGACACGTTGGGCCTGGAAGATGGCTTCTTATGATTTTACAATAGAATATAGACCTGGTAATAAAAATGTAATCGCCGACGCATTATCAAGGCTTCCAATATTAGACACGGAAGAGAATCAAGATTCTAAACATGCTTTGGATATTCGAAGTATCAATTTGGATGATATGCAATTGTCAGAAAATATTCTACGAAAAGAGTCGAAGCAAGATTTAATATTAAAAAAAGTAGCCATACATATTCAGCAAAGTTGGCGAAACTTTGATCGTTATAAAGATAAAGAAATAGTTAATTTTTATAATCGACGGGAAGAGCTTTCTGTCGATCGTGATATTATAGAATGGAATGGGAGATTGGTTATTCCTAATAAATTAAGAAATGCAGTGTTAGGAATGATTCACCGGGGACATCCTGGGGAAAATGTAATGAAATCTATTTTTAGATTGTATTGCTGGTGGCCCAGATGTGATGTTGATATAGAAAATTTTATCAAAATATGTTCTGGATGCCAGAAAAATAGACCTAGTATTCAAGAAGTACCTCTATATTCTTGGACTGTTGGAAAGGAACCTTGGGAGCGAATCCATATTGATTTTGCTGGACCAGTAGATTCGCGATACTGACTAATAGGTGTCGATTCCTATTCCAAATGGTTAGAAGTTGATCTAATGCAAAATACCTCTGCTGATGCTATGATAAAACGACTAAAAAAATGGTTTGCTAGTTTTGGAATACCCAAGTACATTGTGTCAGACAATGGACCACAATTCTTATCTGGGGAATTCCGTAGGTATTGTGATTTAAATAACATACGTCATATACGTTCAGCACCCTATCATCCAAAAACTAACGGATTAGCTGAACGTACAGTACGAACTTTGAAAGGTCGGTATTATGCAACGAGAGATTCAAGCGATCCCGAAGAAGCTATGACACAGGTTTTAACAACCTACCGATTGGGAGAGCATAGTTCCACAGGGAGATCTCCTGCTAAAATTATGTTTGGGAGGCAATTGAAAACAAGTCTGGATTGGATCCGACCAAATGCCGAACACGAAATAGTAAGAGCTAATGATAAACAAAGCCTTCATCATGATTTACATTCAAAGGAAAGAGAATTTGAAATCTCACAACCTATATGGTTAAATAATGAAAATACCAATAGTTGGAGAGAGGGAGTAATTAAAGAAAGAATAGGACTTTATTCTTATATTGTTGAATCTTCCGGGAAAACATTACGGAAGCATGCAGATCAGTTAAGAAATCGTTTAGTTATCCCAAATCATGAAAGTTCTTTGGAAGTTACAGAAATGGTTGTGCCAGTGAATGAAGCAAATACAAACACAAATACAAATACCACATTACGTTGCTTATCAAAAAACCGTAAACCTACAAAGAGGTTTATTGAAGAAATCTAACTTTAAATTGTTTGAAGGAAATGTAATAAATTAATAAATGATTATTTATGTATATTGTATATTAAAAACAGAATCGAACATTCGAAAAATAATAAATAAAAATTTGATATCAAAAATAAATTGAAATATAAATCAGTGGTCGTATTGTTTATAATTAGTAGTTGGTATTACTACAGTATGAGATTTAAATTTATGTAGATCATTTATTAATCTAATTTATTATTGTTCATTTTATATTTTTACCATATGATAAATTTTTATCATAATTATTATTTATTTTAATATCTAAAGAGGTCAGAGTCAGAGTTTTCATAAATTCATTTTCCAACTGACTTCCTTTTTTTAAAAAAATGGGTCGTGTTATAAGAAGTCAAAGGAAAGGAAGGGGTAGTGTGTTTAAAGCACATACCGCACATCGTAAAGGAGTACCAAGATTAAGAGCAATAGATTATTCCGAACGAAATGGATATATAAAAGGAGTTGTTAAAGTAATTTAGAATTTAATACAAGTTATTATATTTTTAAAGGATATCATTCACGACCCTGGTCGAGGTGCACCTTTAGCCGTTGTTGTTTTTAGAGATCCATATAAATATAAATTAAGAAAGGAGTTATTTATAGCTGCCGAAGGCATGTATACAGGGCAATTCGTGTATTGTGGTAATAAAGGTAAATAATATATTTTTTTTATGGCACTAGAAAATAAGTAAGGATTAAATTCCCCTACTTAAATCAAGTGCCTATATAAATAAATTTACCTCCACACGTGCTTTTGAAATTTCTATATGAAATCCACGTTCTAAAAATAAAATACAAAATTTTTATATTGTCAATATTGTAAATTTTTTCATTAATCAAATAATAATTATAATTTAGCAAAATTACAGATTGGCAATATCCTTCCCTTAAAACAAATGCCAGAAGGTACAGTTGTTTGTAATTTAGAAGAAAAGAGTGGGGATAGAGGAAAATTAGCTCGAACATCTGGTAATTATGCCACAGTTATAGCTCACAATCCAGAAACAAAAAAAACCCGTATAAAACTTCCATCAGGAACAAAAAAACTAGTTCCATCTAACAACAGAGCTATGATCGGTATATTTCTGTAATTTAAACTTATTATATTTATGCTAAAGGTATTGTTGCTGGAGGAGGTAGGATAGACAAACCCATATTAAAAGCTAGCAGAGCTTATTATAAAAACAAACCTAAAAGGAATAGATGGCCTAAAGTTAGGGGTGTTGCTATGAATGTAAGTTTTTAATAATCATGTTTTATGAAAAACAAATTTATTATCATGTTTACTACTGGCTCACATTAATTAAATTTAGCCTGTTGACCATCCTCACGGAGGAGGTAACCATCAACATATAGGCAAAGCCTCGACTGTAAGAAGGGATGCTCCACCAGGAAGAAAGGTAAATTTATATTGCAAATTAAAAAATGTAAACTATTTCCTATTTTTATTAATTTAATAGGTTGGTTTGATTGCTGCACGTAGGACAGGTAGGATTAGAGGAACAAAAGTTGTCACCAAGAAAGATGAATAATATGTTATTTATATGATTGAATGTCTAAGAATATATACATGATATAAAAATTAATTTAATTATTATATAAAAATTATAACTCTTTTTGGAGTTAATATAATAAATTTATTCTCAATTATTTTATTATCCATCATGGCATTTACATTGTAAATGCAAAAAGATATATCAGCCACTGACCACCATTTTGCTCAGGATTTAGGATATATACCAATGAATGATATTGTGATAGAAGGCTCTTATAACCATTTGAAAATCATTATTCACATCAGCCTCATAGTAAAGGATCCTATAAACTTTGTCAACCAAATGGCACTCTGATAGATTAGGCCTTAATGTCCATAACAGAATTATTATCTTTTAAAGTGTACACTAGGTGATATGAAATAATCTATAAATTTTGATTTTTTATGTGGAGCTACTAATTCTATCATTCAAATAACAATATCATTTCCCTAGTTTTAAAATCAGGATTACTTACAGTTGAGATAATGAAAAAATTTTTATTCCTTATTTATGAGGTTTTGAATAAATATATAAACACATAACCTCTACACTTGTTCCCAAATTAGTTTTCAAGTTTTAAGAGTTTATTGTAAATGGGACCTCTGGAAATTATGATTTATGTGAGTTATTTCTAAGATCTTATTCTTGTCAGCCTTTAGAAATTTGTGATATTGCTCTAGGCCCCAGTATTGATGCATACAATGCTCATATAAACACATTTCAATAAATAATTTAATTTCCTGTGAATTTCTTTTTGTTGGTGGTTTGAAAAAAATTAGTATTTGATTGCTCAACTAAATTTCTAATTGGAGTATCTAAAATTATTTAAAAAATTATAAATAAATTTATTTGCTTAATAATTTTGCTTGTCAGTGATATTGCATAAAACTATATTATAAAATAATCTTAAAAGTATATTGCTTAAATAATTAATATTTAATACATATGAAAATTTTTTTATTGTTTAATAATTTATGTTATTGCTGAGAGGATTTATTATATATTCCTATTAGTTCATTTACTTTTTCCATCATTCATTTTAAAAAATATTTATAAGTATTTATGCATCAATAAAATATGTTTCTTCTAAGTTTCAATTAATTATGCATAGATGAACAAATTTTATTTTATTTTTAAGATGACACAATGATGGTCAAATGAATTTGATTCTATATACCTTTCAAGCCAAATAATTCTCGTAAAAAATAAGGATATCAGTTTTTTTTTATATAAAAATCACAACTTTCTTTTTATTCAAAAATAAGTTTGTAGGTTATTCTTTTTATTAAAAAAAAATTAACTTATTTCGATTGTTTCACAATATAATTAGAAATTTTTATATAATTTTCTCTGTTCGAAAACAATGGCAAACCCTGTAATCTATGAATAAAATGGCACGTCGTGAATTCCAGATCCATTGCTGCCATCCTAAACACCTTTTATATAATTTTCTATACCATTATCCACCTATTTTCTCTAACAAATCATCTAAAGTAAGGAATAATGTGATATTCAAGCACGGATTGGGCATGATTAAAATAAGCATAAATAGGAATATCATTTCTCTTGTGCAAGTTTAAGGTTGGAGTTAACCACTATACTCTCGTTGTAGTTAAACCAATCTTTTCAATAATTTCAGCAGTCACCAATTCTTTTTCGATCGCTTTACGAAATGGAAATGATATCCAAAGTGCTAGAAAAAATCTTGGCCCAGCAGTATCTATTATGTTTATTAGCATCGCAAAATTAGGTGCATCTCATCATTGAAAATTGTAGATGTTTACTAACCAAATCTCGAATTATATAATCCACGGCTACACAATTTTCCTTAGTTAACACCAAGATTCATTGATTGGTCCAACAGAATATTTTTTTTATCATAATTTGATGTGGCATTCGTAAATTGAAATGCTACCATCCATTGTAATCCGAAAAGAGGCACTCTTAAGTATTCCTTATTACCACAGGCGGGGTCCTTGTCCGTGCCACAATTTAGATGTTAACTTGAATCTCACCTTTAACACCCAAAGGATGATAACCTTATGCTATCAATGAGCAGGTTGGCTTGATTTTAGGTCGTCATAATTGTTCTATCAACTCCGATTAATGACTGTGCATTAATCTCTGCAATTAGTTTTGCTCCATTTTGTGAATCTTCTATATATTATGTGTATAATCTAGTGACTAAGCGCCAAGATTACTACTATGGAAGCAATCAAAAATATTTTTTTTATTTTTATTTACTAGTCAAATCATAAAAAAAATTAAGATTATAAATAAGTGGAATTCGTCTTTGTTTTGGGGTAAAATGATCAAGTTGAATTATAAAAGTTATTGCTGGATTTTAAATTTTTAATAATTTTTTTTTAATCCAAATCAAAGATAGATTCGATAATCGATTTTGACATCTTGTTTCTGCAATAATATTTGATTCTTTTTAAAGATGAAAAACCCTGTTCTGCATTTGCTGTTGTTGAAGCCAAAGTTAAGATGAATTTTCATAATTTAAAAAAACTCTTTAAACTTTTCATCAAATCAGTACATATTAAAAATTCAAGTATTATATTAACATTCTTTTTCTTTCTAAATTCATCATCCCGAAACACTATTTTCAATTCAGTTTCCAGCTTGTGTAGGTCGGAAAATTAAGAATAAGTGTCATTTGAATTGTCTAATAAATATTTTGGGGAATTTACTAATAATATCTAGCAATTCGACGAATTTGATATTTTTTTAATGTATCGAACCGAAAATCAATTTCATTAATTATATTATCTGTTATTCTAATTATCAAATTTTTATAAAATTCTTTTGTATAAGCAATCAGGATATTACGTTTTTTATCAAAATTGTCTTAAATCTTATCTTTTACATTAAAAATCTCCAAAAAACATCAAAGTTTTTTATGTTTGATAATTTTAAGACAATAAGATAAATCGTTAATTTTAGTTTGAAGTATATCAAATAATAAATCAAATTCTGGAAAAATTTCTTAAAAAAATATAACAAAATTAGAAAATTTGTATCATTTAACATATTTAAATAGCCACAAGATGTTATTAGAACATCATTATCCCAAGCAATATCAGACTCTCCATCCATTCATATTTTCAATAAAAAACGACTAGATCCTTCATATTATTGAAAACTGTTTGAACCAGCCGAACATAGTATTCCCATCTCGTTGGGGCTATTAGTGGTAATCTTTTTTTGACATATTTATCAAATTCCGCTGTTCGCTTAGATGATGTACTAAAAAAACTGGCTAAACCAGATAAAGTTGCAAAAAAAGCCGTACATTCTTTAATTTTGCTGCAAGATTTTGATAATATAAGATTTAAATTATTGTAGTCCATGGGAATCGCCTGACATAACAGCTATGCCTGAAGTATTGACGTCTCTTATTTTCGCTTGTAGTCCATGTGAATAGCCTGACATAACAGCTGCGTCATCGTAACTTTGTCCTATTAACTTTTTCATAAATTTTTTATTATTCAAGAATTTAATGACAAATTTTGACAAAGAATTAGCATCTCGATGCATAGTAACATCAAAGAATTCCATAAATCTTTCATACAATGTTCCGTTATTTAAAACATATCAAAGAACAATAGCCAGTTGATATTTATTATTTATATCAGTTGTTTCATCTAATATTATTGTTATAAATTCCGTTCTTCCAATTCATTTAATATTTTTTGATGTAAGACATATTAAATAGAATTAATTAAATCACCATGAATATCGCTTGATAGTCCAATAAAAACTGTACTATTTTCTAAATGATATTTTAATATTAAATTTTCCACTGCGAGCAAATAAATTAATTCAATATAATTCCCTATATGCGAGCTCCTGAATTCCAAGAAAACATATAGAGTTGATCAATATATACAATATTTCTCTATTTTATTTGACTTTTGAATTATCCTGTTCGATTGATATTTTGCGCATAGAATCTATCATATTTTCAATACGATTTTCGCCAAATGTTTTTAATTGAATCATTGACTGCAAATGAGCGGTTGATTCTTCATGCCTTTAAAAATTATACATATCCGAAAATCCTTAATCATTCCAAACATATTTTTCCTTTGGGAATAATAGGCATGACTAACAATATAGAGAATTTGAAAATTCACATCCAGTGAGCCACTCATATTTATAGATAGAAAAATTACAAATGCAAGATTTGATTTCTTTTTTTAAAGTTTTGTAAAATTGGTTTTGGTCTTCCTTTTCCAAAAATTAATTTTTTCGCATCAAAATTTCTTGAGCTAAATGATAATATTAATAATTTCAATAATACAATTACAATAATTAAGCACTTTAAAAAAGAAAAAAAATTTATTTAAAAAAAGTAAGGAAAAAAAAAATATTTTCTTTTATTTATTAAAAATAAGCATTTTTTTATTTGCTTCCCCAATGCTTATATTTTAATCGTAAAATTAAAAAATTACCATAGTATTATTTTCTCTTTATTTATTAAAAAAATAAGCAATATTAAATTTGCTTCCCTCATAACGTAGTAAAAATAATAGTAAATTTTTTAACGTAGTAAAAATAATAGTATCTTTTTTCATGTAGTAAAATAATAGTAATTTTTTTTAACGTAACAAAAATAATATTAATTTTTTTAATGTTATAAAAATTTTATTAATTTTTTTTAACGAAGTCAGTTTAGATTTTTTATATAGTATAAAGATTATATTAAGTTTATTTAAGAATTTGTCAGAAAAATTTCAAGGAAAGCAATGCTTTTCTTGCTTCTATGAATGCTTCGTCACTGGTATAATCACTGACACTCTTATATAATTTTAATTCTGACATCTAACTGCATAATGACTAATATCTAATTGGCTTTATTATAGCATTTATCAAATGTATTAGTTTCAATTTGATGTTTATAATGATTAACATGATTTTTTTGAACTCTACATAAGCTGTGTGAGGAGTTTAGACAGATGCAATGGGTGTCTCCGAGAGAGAGAAAAACTAGCAAGGAAAGGAATAGCAATCATTGGTAATGAGAAATAAATAAGATGGTTTGGGCACGTGGAACGTAAGACAAAAGATGACTGGGTTAAGATGTACCTTGATGGAATTAGGAGGATCAAGAGAGGTAGGCCTAAGATGACGTGGACAGGGGCGGATATAAATAAAATGAATCTTACAAATATTGAAATTGACCTTTAAAAATGGAAAAGGAAAATCAGAGGGGAAACTGGCTAACCCCGGTAATCGCTTTTAAACGGAGAAGAGTGATCTTATTGTAATAGAATCAAACCTTTAAAATAAAGGTAATTGGTAATATGATTGATGTATTTATATGATTTGTAAAAGAAATATAACTGTTGAAATTAATGACAAAGATATAATACTGTTTTCACGACCATCACACCGATCAACAACTGACATTTTTTGTCGTCATTTCTTTGTCTGCACGCTTAGAAGAGATTGCCAGGTCTAGAATATATTGTGGATGTTAAAAAACTAAAGTTAGACAATTGTATTCTAAAAAGTGGTTTAGTCGTCAAGGGCAATTAGTTCTATAATCTCGAATAAATTAGGTTTAACTAACTATTCAAATCTTCTGGAACCCGTCACTTATCCCTGCCTGGTAAAAGAAAAAACCAGAAGACCCTTGGGTTAAAGGTAAACATCTTATTTGGGATTTCACCTGTGCCTCCCAATTAGTGTTATAAACGGCTCGTTTTGAGCTTGTAAAAAACGGTTAATTCAATATTTAATCCAGAAAAATATTACGTAATTCTGAAAACTATGCTCATAGAATGAACAAAGGTCTAGACATATATTATCGATATCTCGAGGTTTAGGCAATATTTTTCTGTCTAAAATATTGAGTTAGCCGTATTTAAAAATCGGCTCAAAACGAGCCGTTTAACACACTACACCCAGTTCTTCTCTAACCCAAGTATTGACCTCATTCCGATTTTCATTTTATCCCATTAGTTTCTACCAATGGGTCCTATAGATCTCAAATTTTGGTCAAATAAATGGGGATCATGGATTTAAAATTTTACAAAACCCAGATAGCTCTGTTCCAATGTTAATAAGCTAAACCAAGTAGACTTGACCTAAATTTTTTAGGTTTTGAGTCGTAAAACTAACTTCAAAATGGCTTTAGAGTCGGCTCGTTTTAAAAATATTTTCCTCGTCGAATAAATAATAATAGTAAACCAATTCCGACTCATCGAGACGCTCAATTTAAGAAGTATTTTGCGACTCCAACTCGAGTTCAGTCGTAAAAACTTGACTTTTTAACACACTAGTTTCGAGAAAACCATCTAAGTTTCCTCAGATCTCAATGTTGTTCTTTTTTCTTTTTGTCTTATGTTTTAAAGAGTTTAGATACTTTTTAAAAAAAAATTAATACGTTAAAGATTTTAAAATTATAAAAAACAAATTTGAAATAATTATAATTAAAATGATAAAATAAAAGTTTTAAATTTCTTGAATAGTTTTTATTTTATTGTAAATTAGAGCATAAGATATTACGGTTAGAGAAAGAAAAGCAATTAAATAAAAGTAATATTACATTTAATTGAAAATAAATTTATGGATAAAACGTAGTTGTGTCACCATAATCAATCCCTGATGACATTACCATCTCTTCATATGTTTAAATTTAACGTTACTTTTCAATTTAATTTTTTTATTTTATCCATCATCACATTTTTTATTTTAAATATGTCGTAAACTTGGGGGTTCCTCTCATAGGGCAAATAATACCAAATTAAGGTTGCATTTATTTTTTAAAATAAAGATTATATTTATCGCTAGTGCATGTATATTATCACATTTACAATCGTCTTCAAACATATTATAGTAATTTGTACATTATAATAAATTAAATAATATACAATGGAGTAATTAATATATTTTATAATTATGTTAAAATTAAAAATAAGGAAACAATTTTAAGAGAAATTAACTAAAAAGCCTAGAGGAATATTAAAAAAGGAAACGACCATCAGATTATTATTTATATGAAAACGACAAAGCTTATACTATAAATTTATGCCAATTATCATAATCTTTCTTAAAAAGTGGACATGATTATGTGGGTGTTTCAGTCTCAAATATTGAATAAAAATCGGGGGAGGGGTACTTATCAGTCCCAAAGTTTAATAAGTTTATCCCACCCAGCCGATAGGATCTTAGAAGTTTCATGGGGATGCCAAAGCACGTTTATGCAAACATCATCGTGTGCTTTGAAAGAGGTGACGGAGCGAGTGCTGTTCCAGTCCCAAATCCACAGCTTACCATCGGCGTCTCCAGAGGTAACGTAAGTTAGGTCAGGGCTGAAATCGGGAGCGCAAGCGTAGCCCGCTACCTTTATTTACAAATTAGATTGATCATATATTTTTTTTAAAGTATGGAAATGTCTATTTATTTTTATCAATCATAAATTATATAAAACTTTCTTGGTAAATATGATTGTGCATTATAAACTTAACCTTCTTTTAGGTTCATTTATATTCCAAATAATTAGAGGGACTAAACGTTCTTATTTTAACTGATGAAATCTAACTGGAGTACGGTTCGCTAATAAAATCAATTTGTTTAAAATCGAGATTTATATCACCACGATTTTATTAACTAAATTTTATCAAAATACTTAATATAGTTAAAGACAAAGACTTAGATTAGTCTAAAACTTAATTTTTTTAAAATAAAAACAATAAATTGCATTAGTAAACATTACTTATTATATTTAAAAAAAATTAAATTACTTGTTTCATTTTAATCTTTATAAAATACAACTATATAAAAACATTTAATATTATATCCTATATAATAAAAACCGTGTTACAGTCGAGCTCAACATTTTAAAATCTCTTCCAAAAAAATGTAATTTAGAGGCTCAGGTTTTTAAGATAATAAATTTTTTGAATGTAAAAACACATATTTTAGCTTTTATAATTTAAATAAAATGCAATATTAATTTAAAACAAAGAACATACCAAACTATTAATAATATTAAATAAAATTTTCATATAATTTTTTAAATTTAATATTGAAATTTTTTATATACGTCGAATTAGGATGGAATCCCAAAGTGGGGATTCAAGATCTTGAATCTCCACGTTTTATTCGGAATCTTTTTAAAAAAATATTTAAATAATATTCCGAATCCCCATGAAAAAAGAAAAAAATATAATTACTTTTCACCAATAATTAAAAGGCCAAAATAAGGGATTTAAAAAGAAAATTTAAAAAAAAAGTAACTAGTATAAAATTAAGGAATAATAATGAATGAAAAATAAGGTTAAACATTTTTGTTTTTTTAAATTTATATGAAATATTTTCACATTAATATTATTTTAAAAAAATCCGAATAAAAAAAAAATATTTATTGCAACAATTCTTAAATGCTATATAACATTTCGTTGAAATTTAAAGTTGTTCTTGAAACACCTTTTATTCATGCAACCCATTTTTCAATTGCATAACGATGGTTTCCCATAGTTTGTGACATTCCGGAAGCTCTTAAATAGTTTTAACAGTTTAAATAAATAATTAATATATTTTATGTACACGAATTAATTTGAGAAGTATATGTGGTTACTATAAAAATAGCTTAAATTACCTATGATTGATATATCTTTGTTGGGAACTTCAAAATCATTTAATTTTATAGTTTTATATAGACTAGAGGCAATAAATGGTACTGAAATTCTTCCAGCACACGTTCCTACCCATATTTTGCTCAATTTTTAATACTTTCCCTTCTAAATTTTTAGGAATAAAATAGCTCAGAGACCTGCAGAGGTGCCATTTGCACGGCGCGGCCTGGATTTTTTTTAGAAAAAATAATATATTTATTTTTAATGACAATTTAAAATATTTGGTTTTAAATTATGCGGCCAAGCCTGAATATTTATATTAAAAAATTTAAAATACGATATGACCCGTGTATACCCCGAGCTTAGAGCCAGACCTGCAGGTTTCTGAAAAAACTGATATGAATTATCAATAAATTTAATTTTAATATAAATTTGTAATTGTATTGGGCGAGATTTTTTTTCATAGAATTTCTAAATTATTACATTTTGAAATGAAAATTTATTTTTAATATGAATTAAGAATCTTATTGGGCGGGATTTTTTTTCACGAATATCTAATTTATTACATTTTGAAAATTTATATTAATACAATATTTTATTTTTAATATTAGTTTAAAAATTTTTTTAATGCCTCAAATTTTTTTTACCCAAAACAGTTACAAAATATAATTTATATAAAAATATAATTTATATAAAAATATAATTTATATAAAAATATAATTTATATAAAATCATATTAAAAACACCCAAATACAAATCTATTCAAAATATAAGGAAGGAAATGTAGATAATATTTTTAACGATTCTGTCACTTTTTTATTGTTTACCAATGAGGAAAATTATGTGAAAGCTATATACATTGCTACTAAAATAGTAAAGGTTTCAATCAAAGATTAGCGCTTTCGAATTGTCCATAATATTACTAATAGTCCTTGTTCAAAAAATGTTGGCCATAAATATATGGAAAAATAGTTGTGTTACCAATAATATTGGGAATAGTATTTATAATATTTTAAAGAGCCCCATCTTTTATTTTATATTTAATGATCGTGGGGATCAAAACATAATTTATTCTCAAATAATTGAAAATAACTTTATCTTAGGTCATCACTTGTCAAATATCTGTCCTAAAAATTTAGAAAGGAAAGTATTAAAAATTGAACAAAATAAAATATGAGTAGGGTGTGCTGGAAGAATTTCAGCACCATTTATTGCCTCTAGTCTATATAAAACTATAAAATTAAATGATTTTGAAGTTCCCAACAAAGATATATCAATCTTCATAGGTAATTTAAGCTATTTTTATAGTAACCACATATACACCTCAAATTAATTCATGGACATAAAATATATTAATTTTTCATCTAAACTGCTAAAAATATTTAGGAGCTTCCCAGAATGTCACAAAATATGGGAAAACATCGTTATGCAATTGCAAAATGGGTTGCATGAATAAAAGGTGCGAATGTTTCAAGAACAACATCAAATGTTCAACGAAATGTCATATTGCATTGAATAATTGTTGAAATAAATAATTTTTTTCAAATTCGAATTTTTAAAAAAATATATATTCATGTGAAAATATTTATGATTTTATAAAAATTTACAAAAAATGTCTTTTAACGCCTTAATTTTACTATTTACTTTTTTTAAAAATTCTCTTATCCTTTTTGATAATTTATATAATTTATTTATTATAACAAAATATCTCTAAAAAATAAAATTTCTGGTGCCAGCCAGGCGGTAAAAAAAGAAGAAAAAAAATTATTTAATTGTTATAAAAAAATATATTCCGAATCCCCATGGGTTTTAAATATTAAAAAAATAATATTCGTGGGGATTCAAGATCTCGAATCCCCACGTTGGGATTCCGAATCCCACATGATTCCATACCCCAATACAACATATATACATCAATTTAAAATTAACTTTAAATATTGAAAATATTATAAATTTAAATGAGATATAGCTTTTAGATAAAAGTAAGCTGGACCCTATCCACCTAACGTCTTGCCCACCCCCCACACAACCTATCAAGGGTTAAATGGAATAGTTCTGTTTTTACAATATTTTCCAGCAGTTTTTCCGATTAAATATGTAAATATACCATTTTTTAAAATTAATTTCTCCGTGAAAAAAACTAAACACTTTAATGATAATAAATAAAGGAAAGGGAGATCCTACGAAATTATTTTAAATAGTATAAGTCATGAAAAATATTTTAAATTTTGTTTCAACAATAATTCCTCTTTTTTATAATTAATAAATACCATGTGGCCAGCGAAGGTCTTTTTCCTTCTCCATCTTAAACCCCCCATAACTTGATACATCAGAACTTTATTGTCCATAGATTGACATGCGAGCCATTTTTCTAATTAATTTTTTATACAAAATAAACCGATTTAAATTATTTTAAATTTAAAGAAAAGTATTCAATATAAAACGTTATGTTAATCAAATATATAATCATAGGTAATCGTACAAAACATTTTAAAATTTGTAAGTAAATTTATCCCATCTCGCTTCATAATTCCCTCTAAGTTTCCTTTTATATTACTGGTTCTAATATTTATGTCCAAAAAATTCGAAAGAAATACTTTTATTTTCTTTCTTTTATGGAAAGATATTAAAATTATTTAACCCAGCAAATTAATTATAATAATAAACTATTAGGAGAAATGGTGACGGCGGGTAAGGAATGCATCGATGGATCCGCTACGTAATGAGTGTCGACGGGTATATCCCTAGTTATAAATAAATTGTCATTTTTAATTAATGAATAATTCTAAAATAAAATTTAAGGAAATATGAAGTATAACTTAGAAAAAATAGTTATAAAATTAAATACTATAAAAAATATGATAGGAATAAAGTGTATATCAAAAATAAGTAATACAAAATTTAATAATATAAATAGGAGAAAGAGGACCTGACTATCAAATAATACTAATTTTCCAATTTTCTTTGTTCATTTTATTAATGTATCATTTATTTTTATGGGATAATGAATTAATAAATGCTTATAATTTACAATAAATGCGATGAGTCATTGTATTTAAAAAGGGTTCATTCACTTCGAGGGATTAAAGACCATTAAATCTATCATTTTCTTTCTTTCTTTTTATATAGATAAGAGGAGGGAAAAATATAATAAATAAACACACCATTCCCATATTCTAAGGGTTTTGTCATCCGAGGTTGTTACAAATTTTCTCCCATTGTCTATGAACGTTATCGTATTGATTGCGCCTAAATGTCGGTCGTATTCTTGTACTATATCGCCGGAACGGATGTCCCACTTGATAAAAAAAATTAAACATAAATTATAACATCTTTCCACCTCCGTGAATAGGATTCCATGGTTTTTGGGTCGGATAGTTGGAATTATATTTAATAAAAAATATAAATAAGAAATAATGAGCGGCAAAACAACCACGTTATATTAACACAATATTAATTATATTTAAAATAGACCTAATTCGATTTAAATTTAAACATTAGAACAAGATACCAGGTTTAATGAATGTGGACATTTCGATTGATAAAATATTCGGATAAATAAATCGGTCAATTTCTATTGATTAAAAAATTCCAACGGACAAAATATTAGAGAATAGTAACCTCCAAAGATGACGACCTTCTTATCTTGACCCTTTTAAGGAGGTCTCTCTCTATCAAAATTCTATTAAAAAGTAAATATAGTATATATATTTATATTGATAACATCTCAAAGGGTTTCAATGCACGATTGAAATTTTAAAGAAACAGTGTATTTAAATTTTAGATAATAGTTATTTGTTGTTGTAAGAAGGAAAGTCAGATGATCACCTTTTTCAAAAGATCTTTTTTCTTGTTTATTTAGATTGGAAAAGAAGAGCACTATGTTTTTAAAATGGGACAGTGTGTGATTAAAAATGCTATAATTAAGATATAGGAATATATGTATTCACCCCCACCCCGGTTCTAAAGATTGATATATATTCTGTGGAAAAAAACTAGAATAAATTCTATATTACATACATCTCTAACCTTAAATAATAAAAGCACCTTCTTATTTATACTTATATAAAGATAAGATCATATTTACCACCTTTTGCTTAATTTCAAAATAACTTTAAAAAATATATATAATAATATTTTACGCATATAATTTTTTTGTTGGTAGTTCCGGCTAAAAAGAAATTCTGTTTACTTTCCTCGGGGTTAAATTTTATGCAATAACACACTCTGTGATTCGTGAACTTCATTGTCGACTTTCCTAATAATAAATATTTTAAAAATATATTTATATTGAAAAGTAAACAAAAATGCTTCAGAATAAAATTTTATATTTACTTCTGAACCTAATAATATTAAAACCCTCGTCTTAAAAAAAAAGTTTTAGTTCCGAATCAAAATATTTTTTTAAAAAAGTAGTTATGGTTAGAGGTTTGCATTGGGTGGGTTTTTGGACCATAAGCCCAGTTCACGAAAAGCACTAGTTGAAGGAATTATCAATATTTTTCTTGCTAATCTTGATAGCTTATAGGCAAATATCTTTCTTGTCGTTTCCACCGAAGTAGTTTTAAATATACAAAAAAGTTTATTTATTTTAAGAAAAAAACTCTTATGATATTAAAAAAGGACATTTTAATTTTTAATATCCCAAAAAATTCATAAGAACAGATTTTTATTAATATTTACTTAAATTTTTTTTAACCCGCCCGCCTGCCTGTTCTTAAAAATTTTTTTATCCGCCCGCCCACTGTCGAATCCCCACTCAATGCAGACCACTAGTTCTGGTTAAGATTTCTAAAATTTTAAAAAATGGGTTATGTTCCAGTTCTTAAATTTGATGTGGCCCCGAGCTAGGTTTTGGTTCGAAAAAATCTGTTAAAAGCAATCAAAAATGAATTAGAATAAACCCTCTAAAATTAATCAAGCAGCCTTTTAAAAGAGTGTGGGAAAAAATTTTCAAAAAAGTAATTTAAATTTTTTTATATAGGAAAACTAAATCATAAAAGGTTTTGGAATTTTTAGGTAAAAGTTTTTTGAAGATGTTTTTCAAACTTTTGTTTCAAACAATATCTATATAAATTTGCGCCTTTGTCAGAAATTTTAAATGGGTTAGGGTTCCCATAGAAATGTTAAAAGATGGTTCCAGATTCTAAATCAAACATATTTTTAAATAATTCATTTTCTTAATTTAAAGGATAACATTTTGACCTTAGCTTAATTTTGACAAAAAAAGGTGGAGTTAGTATTTGACACCTTTTTAAAATTACTCGATTCAAATTTTTTTAGAAGAATAATAAATATAGTTTAAACATTTAATTTATTAACTATTTTAAAATGATAAATATTTTGAAATACCAGCTTATAATTTTATGTATCCAATATAAATAATTTTCTTTATATAAACCTAAAACGAATATTAGAAATTGAATAATTCAAATATTTTAATAAGGACTAATTAGAGCCTTACTATAATCAAGAGACCATTTAACTAATTTATAAAAAAATAAAATAGCAACGGTAAATACTAATAGAAATTTTAAAATACCTGTATTAAGATGCTCTCCTAAAATCATAGTTATAAGGTACTCAAAAAGGTTTTGTGTCAAGGAGGGAACTTAGCAATAAACTTTTGCCTTAATAAACTTTTGCCTTGTAGATCCTGATCATAGCCAACCCAATGATAAGTGAATAATTGGAAGCAAAAATATTTATGAACATAATTAACCTGTTTCGGTATCCCATAATTTAATATATTTATCATATCCAGCGGACAAAAATTGAGACCCATCGTTATTGAAGCATACATCTCTAACGGCTTGCGTGTGGCCAGAATACGTTTGTATGCATCTACGTTTGTTATAAACTTCCCATAACTTCGCCGTTGAGAGTGAATGGGGGTTAAATCACAATTTATTAAAATTTATGAGATCTCATATGCTCAAGCTACTAATAGAGATAAAACATGTTGATTATATTATAGCCCTAAGCCAAACCGAAGGACGGCTTAAACCTGAAAAAAACGAGCAGGGATTAAATGTTATTTTCAATTGGGCCAAACCTAAGCCTAAAAAAATATGTCCGTTTTGTCTCCTCTTTTATTAAAATAAAACAATCATTGTAATGTTATTAAAACATAATTATTTATTAAGGGGGGGGGGAGTATGGGAATTCACACGTAAATGAGAATAAAAAAATTCTCTAATATATTAATAAATTAATTTAAGTGAATAAAGAATTTTAAACTCAAAGTTAATAAATTGAAATATATACTCTAGATTAGGACAAAACAGTTACCAATCCTTATTTTGTATAACTTTATAAATATGTTATTTATTTTTCAATTAAAAATTACGGACCAGGATCCACCCTAAAAACAAATATTTGAACCCGGTTGGGCTTGGTTCACAAATCGGGCCTGACCATCACGGGCTTGCAGGGCTATAACTCATTTGAAACTATTTGAATCAGTTACTGATAAGTTATCCTTTTTGTAAAAAATGATTATGGTAACAAATTAATATATTTTTTAAATCTGTTGACTAATCTGCGTTCTTGGTATATGCTTAGAGTGGAATTTAATTAGTGCAAAATTGGTTGTAATGTTACTAAAATGAATGATATACTTTATATTTATAAGGGGTATATAGATCATTCGTATTTAGCCACAAAAAATTGTCTGATTCAATTATATCGAAATGACGGATAAAAAACTATTTATAATACAATATGAACATTGAATCGGATTTTATTCAAAATGTGTTAATTAGACATTTTAAATTAAATAGCCCATTTTTTATATAATGTACACAATCATTTGATTGATATTTTTGGTTTATTCTGTTCCCCATATAAATTTTTTTATAATGTTTTTTAAAAAATAGGATCGGTTGATATCAATGATCGACATCTAAAACGTATTTTGATATAGTATAGATGCTGTATGTTTGTATAACAAATTAAAAAAAACCTTGATTTTAGCGTCCATACCACAAGATAGGAAAAGATGAGCAGAAGATGGAAACCAACGGATAGCTGAAAGACCTTTGGTGTGTCCGGTATAAGTGTGAACCAACCTTTTAGGCAGATAACACTTTTCTGGGATATGATCGGCTTTTAGGTTAATACCTAAGTCTTGAGGAATATGTAAGAAAGATCTGCCTTGATAATCGTAAGCGTCGGGGACTTTTTTTTTAAAAAAAAGAAGTTAAATAGTGTATGACATTTTTTAGAATTAAAATTAATTAGTTATATCAATTAGACATTACCATTTCTTTTGTTTAATTTACTCAATCCGAATATTTCAATAAAAATGGATGAAAGTATTGTATGTGTCACATTAAAACAGAGATAATATAATATCTAAGTAAATATTATTGGAAAAGATTGATTTTATGTATATGTATTTATTGAAATATTTCTTGTAATGTAATTAAATATTAAGATATATAGGGTAGAAATATATATTGCGCACATATAGGTATATCGTTAAATCATTTAAGCCAAACTTAAAAAAATTGAGCAATTTATGAAAAGAAATTTTTCATATTAAAATACTTTAATTAATTTAACATTTATAATATATTTATTTATACATAGTGATGTAAAGGTAAGAAAATTCATGGGAAATAAGGAGAAATTTCATATTTTCCCGGGAAATTTCCCTACTTCTACATTACCATTTAGAATATAATTTGATTAGTAATTCCACCTCGATAGTGTTTTAGCACTACAAATTTTTATATTAAATTGCCCCTTTAATTGGTAGAAAATAATTATTAAACTCATTTTTAAAATGAATGCGCCCTGCCTAAAAAATTCAATCAAATGACACATAGCAAAATATTATTAAATTTTGAATATAACAAATTAGATATTTTAAAAGATTCTCTATTTAAGTATCTTTATATCAATTAAATAATTAATTTTACCATAAAAGATTTTATTACATTATTCTCTCTATATGGAATTTTTATGTTTAAACATAATGAAATTTTTTTATGGCAACTTAATTTGATTTAGGTAAGTACTTAATCAAATACATTCAGTTCGAGGCATTGATTAATTAACTCGGGTAAATGGGATTATTTAATAACTGGGGTCTTCAAAATCTCATTATTTCTTTCTCTTTTTAAAGTAAAAATTTAATAAGAGATGGTTCAAATAAAAGTTGGATAAGTTATATATTTCTTATTTTTATCTAGAATTTAAGGTAAAGGTTATAACTGATAATGAAAATCATCTTAAATTTTTTTTTAAAATAATGTGATTACATAAAAACAATTTACGTTAAAAAGATTTAAAAAGATGAGATAGGAACATTGAGTAATTATTCATGGTTCATAAGTTAATACCTTGAATTACTCATTGCTCAATGGCAATATACCTCTAAAAGTGAATAAAAATTGAAGAATATTATAAAATATATCAAAATTGTAATCAATAAAAATAAATGAGGTAAATTTTTAATATTCATTTATCAATAAATTACTATGTAAAACAGATTTTTCCATAAATATTTTCTCTTCCTCATCAGTCTTCTTATGTCTTTTGGCTAAAATTTCATTCAATTCGGCTTGCATTTCCTAAAAAACAAATAGATATGTTATAATTCACAGGGAAGGAACAATTGGCTTTATAATTGTATACAATTTAATAAAGTGTTTTTAAGATGTGATGATTCTGCCAATAATAATAACCTCTATTTAAAATTTTAAGGTAAAATTATAATTATATTGCTGATATAGTTTAAATCAGTTTTAGAAAATATCAAACAACTTACCATTATGATTAACACTAGGGATGCACCGATATTTTTTATAGAATCGATTTATTCTTTTCAAAATATTGGTTATCGTCCAATATTATAAAATTTTCCGATCCAATCGAATGGCGTTTAAATTTTTAAAAAATTTATTTCAAATATCATAATATATTTGTTTATTATGTATTATGTAAATAGATAAATGTTATTATATAAATAAGTGATTTAACAATAAAAATATTTTATATAGTTTTAGATTCATGAATATAAACTATAACTGATCATTATAATATATTTAAATTACTTATGTTATGCTATAGTTAAATTAAAGATATTATAATATTAAAAAGTATATGAGATGAGAAGATATATACATTAAAAATTTTAACGATTAATATGTTTACAGAATACAAAACTAGATATTATATCGGATCGATAATCGGCCGATATCAATAATAGACCTACAAAAAATGGTATCGGTACACCCTTATTGGCAATAAATAGTTTATTTAACTAAGGCTTAAGATGTTTGAAAATATATTTGTCAAGATAACGGTTTATTGTATCAGGTAATTGTATAAATTCCAAATAAAAAAGTTCTTAATATCCAAAAATTATTTTGATTTTAAAAAATGGAAAGAATTTTTGAATCCTGATCACTTATTCAGTTTTTTCTATTATCTATCAAATAAAAGTTTATCTGGGTCGGACAAAAAGTACTCTCAAATTATATTTGAAACAGAGATAATTTTTATTTTATATCCAAGATAGATTCTTGGTGAATATTTAAAAGATACATGAATGTATCTAAAATAAAAAATACTTTAAAAGAATATAATTTAAAACAAAATGTAAAACTTTTTCTTTATAAAATTGCATGGTACAATATAATATCTGTAAAAATTATGTATAAATTCAGTGGGAAATTAACAAAACTTGTATATATAATAAAATTTATATTTGTAAAAAATATAATTGTAATAATAAAAAATAAAACAAATATTTACTAAAGTAAATTTTGTAAATTCAATTATGATAAAACGTTAGTAAATATATTAGCGTCATTATAGCCGCATAGGGAAGGGACTTCTACCAAGGGGCTGGAAACATAATGAAAGATCGTCATTGAAATTGGAAGGAGGTAGTTATAAAGACGCTATTACAATTTGAATAATATTAAGGGGGGGGGGCAGTTTTGATTTATTTTACTCTATATTATTTTTGCTTAATTTACTTGTTAATTTTGATCGAAGTGTGGGGAGGGGGGAGTAAGATTTTAAGGGAGTGGTGGAATTAGTTCTTTTGTGCTATTTTAGATATAATTTTTTTTTTTTATTATATGAATAGAATTACCTGGAAGATGGTAAATCAGTATTGAATAAAAAGATATCTTATATTTTTATAATTATTCAGCCTGCCCTCTTTTAAATAGTTTAATATTTAATTCTACAAAATTGGTAACTGTAATTGGATTAATAATAGGTTCATTGATACTTAATTTGGTTTAGTAACTAGTATATACTAAATAATATATAAAAATATGTATTATAGGCTTATCCAAGGGGGAGATTTCCCTTCCTAGGTAAATTTAGAGGATTTTGTAAATAAAATATAAGCTAATAAAAATTATCTTGCGCGTCCCTTCCCAAACAATAAATATAATATGTCATTATAAACAATAATTGAAAAATGTAAGTAAAAGTTAATGATCTTTCAATATATTTATATTTTATTTTTAAGAAAATTATAGACCAAGGGCTTTTAAAAGCTGGTCTAATAACTCCAAATAAAATGTATGGTGAGGAATTAGCATAAAAGTGCCCCCCCCCCCAAGATATCAGGAATAAGTCTCGATTTTAAATAGGAAATAACAAAAACATAATCATAGGCATATTCAGAATTTTACTGGGGGGTGGGAATTTTTAAAGAACAGCCATATTGTAGATGGGGGGGGGGATTTTCCACTTTCCAATCCCTTGGTTCTGCCTGCATTAATATATTATAAAAATAATTAATGCAACCTTGTGGATTAAAAACAATAATATTCTATTATAACATTTTATTTATTTTGAATAGAATTTAGTAAACATTTCTAAAAAAATCGAACGTTCGCGTTCAAAATTCATTGAAAAAAATCGAACGCTTTCACGTTCACTTTCAAAAAAAAAAGGAATGCGTTCACGTTCGTTCAAAATTTTATGCTAATTTTTTTTAAAAATTTAATTTAATATAAATAAATGACTTATATTTTTAACACAATATATTAGCCATGTTAAAAAATAATATTTTATTTTGATAATAAATACAATAAAATATAGTGAATAAAAAGATATTTTTATTATTTGTTTTTCTTTCATCGATAAACGCTTGGCAGTTACTACGGCATTCGCGATACTAAAAACGCGCTCTCAGAAGAGGGGATTGCGGTATTATACTTAATATACAACTTTTTCAACGAGGGGAATTCATTAAAAACATTTATTGTTTTGTCCTTTGCTTCAAAAAATTTAGATAAGTTATCCTTCTCTAATCCATCCTCTACTTCCCAAGAACTAGATTAGCCCCAAAATAAAAAATATACAATAATAAGATATTTTAATTACCTTTTATTTAATAACTATATCAATATTCGTTTTTATCCCTTCCTCTTCCCAAACCCCAGACCAAGTCCAACCGATTAAGACCAAGAGTTAATACTTTAAACCAAAAAATATTTTAATTATATTTTATTTGATCACTATATCAATATTTTGTGTTGATTAAGATATTCATTCTTGACCCCACAAGTCACAGACCTACCCCAAGTATATTTATTATAACAATCAGAAAATATTTTAATATCTTTAATTTGATATTAGTGTCATTTAACAGACTGATTTTAGCCGATTTTAAAAAATGGTGAACTCAAATTAATTTTTATATTGTAAATAAAAATATAAAATCCTAGGTGGAGTAAATTTAAAGAAATCATTTTTATATTAAAATTTTATATATCATATAAAAGTTAATTATTTTTACAATAAATAAATTTATACTTCAAATTGTGTTTAAATTAAAATATAAACAATAATATTCAAATTAATAAACTATAATAATGGCTTGTTAATTAAAAAATTCAAATTAATATTAAATTTTTCAAATAAATAAAAATAAAAAGTGTTTTAAAATTGAACGAACATTAAATTCGAACAAAGTTCATCAAAAAAAAAGAACACGTTCAAAGTTCATCAAAAATAAAAGGAACTCCATTCATCATTTTTTTCAAAAAAAATGAACATCATTCACAAATAATTGAATTAGATTAAATAAAATATAAATAAATTTATATGATTTTATTATTAAATACATTCCATAATTTAATTTTAATGACTTACTTTTATTGCATGATGAGAAATCTTAACTTTAAAAATAATGTATGTAAATAATTTACACCTGCAACATTAGCAGTTTACATAGGTATTTGCATCAGAATCAACTCCATATTGAAATTTAAATAAGAAATTATATAAAAAATTAAAAATGAGCTCTTTTATTTCATAATGTGATAACTAAAAAGTGGCTGAATAATTTATAATTAACTGAAAAATAATACAATTATTTTTCAAAAATTTGTATCCACGATACTGCCCAACCCTGCAATATAATTAGATAAAAAATTAAATACTTAATAATATTTTTGAAAATGAGTGTAAAAGTGTAATAAATTTAATAAAATATTATATATTAAAATAGAATAGAATATTTGAAAATTAATTAATATAAATTTGATGTTTGAAATATAAGATATATTTTTAACATTTTTTGGCAATAAGAATATTGAGTTGGTGGACCGTTTTTGTTATCCTGATTCGATCGAAACTTTATCTTTTAAGGAAATTGAGTCAATATGTTTTAAATTGTTTAAACCAACGTTAACAGCTTTTGCTTCTAGATTTGATTTCGTTAGATTACGGAGAACAACTGAAACCATAACTGAATTTGCAGATAAAATTAGAACAATTGGCAAGCTTTGTCATTATCTTAATGATATTGACGAGCGTTTATGTGATCAGTTTATGGTTTGGAAATACCGGGATTGGAAAGAGATCTTAGAGCTCTATATCCCGACGGTCTTGATAGAGATAATAATGTACTGACTTTCCAATTTATTCTTGATCTGGCATTAGCTTCTGAGCGAGCAGATAAAGAAATGGCAAATAAAAATATGCCTGTTGTTAATAAGATAAATGATAATAACAAAAGAAATGATAATGATAATAATTATAAACATCCAATCAAAACGACGACTATATTTGATAAAGGCTATAATAAAGTCAAGAATAATAATACATTTGATAAAGAGAATAATAAATACAAATTTAATAATGATAAAGATTATAATAAACTTAAATGTTATAAATGTGGTTTTATTCATAACCGAGAAGTAGGCCTATTCAAAAACGAATTCGAATCGAATAGTGCATTATTCATATTCGATTCGTTTAAACGAATAGAATAATTTACTATTTGAATTCGTACGAATAATAAAATCTACTATTTGTACTCGATTCGAATTATTAGAATAATTCGAATTAATTTTTTTAATAAAATAAATCATACTCAAATATATTGACAAATTTTTTTATTACAAATTTGATTTTAAACAGAAAAAATTATAATATGTAATCAATAATCTGATAATAAATAATATATAATCAAGTTATAAACAAAATTAAAATATATATTATTAATTTAATTTATAATTTAAGCCAATTTTTAAGGCAAAGAGTTTTTCTTATTTTTCCTTCATTATATGACATGTGGTTTTTTGACAATAAATTA